TATTTTTAAAAAAGTAAGAATATTTATGTCCGTTTATGCCAAATGAAAAAGTTTGTTGGACAAGAAAGAAGTGTGAGTGCAAATGCTTTGTGGGACAGAGAGATTATAAAACAAGTAACGACCAAAATAATTTACTATACCGAATGATGAATAAAAAAGAAATATTTGCAGTAAATAGCACTAAAACTTATGTCATATCCCTAAATAGCACTTAAATTGTTTTATTCCTTAAATAGCACTTAATAATGTCCATAATGTCCAATGATGGTGAAAATTTACTTGAATAATGACTAATGGGTAATGACTAAAAGTGCTACATTGGGAAAAAAACACATGTGGTGCTATTTAGGAAAAGTCATTATATTTTATTGCTATTTAAGTAAATTCCTCAATAAAAAACACATGCTTCCCTTGACTAGAGTGATAGGATGCACACCTCCCCAAATTTATGAGGAGTTTGCCTATATTTGAGTCTAAGCGCATGCATTAGCTGATTGTTCCTCATTAGGTTCTCAAAAGTATGAACAAATATTATATAGTAATTGAATCAATAGCACTAAAAAATAAATGAAAAAAATATTTGGAGCCTATATAATAAATAGTAGTAAGAAATATTTTGTAAAATAGATCGACTATGGAGTGCCATTCATGTGTGAAACCAAATATTTTAATCTTTGACAACTAAAATAAATAAAGTATAATTTATTTATAGTAATAAAAATATGATATTTTGAAAGTGTAACTCATTTTAATATTCATATTTTCCTATTTGTTTCAATTTTTTTTCCATTCCTAAAATGTTTGAAAAAAGTTTTAGTTATTTGATAATTAAAGCTAAGTGTTTGGAAAAGGTGATTGGCGTATTTTGAAATAATAAATATAAAATAATGTCATTTACATTTATTTAACTAAATAGGTCAACCACCTTCTCCATACCCAGAGTCTCAACTCTCAATTAGAAACAAGTTGTCTTCACATGAATTCCTAAAATGTTTGAAAAAAGTTTTAGTCATTTGATAATTAAAGCTTAGTGTTTGGAAAAGGTGATTGGCGTATTTTAAAATAATAAATATAAAATAATGTCATTTACATTTATTTAACTAAATAGGCCAACCACCTTCTCCATACCCAGAGTCTCAACTCTCAATTAGAAACAAATTGTCTTCACTTGACGCTCAGTCCCTCTAGCTAGCCATTTCTTAAGAAGAAAGTGTATTCTTGTTTGGATGGTGTGGGAGAGGATGCATAAACATAAATAAACAAACATATACTCCATAAATACGGAGTAACTAACTTGTTACAAAAAAAAAAAAAAAGTATTAAGCATTCCTTCCTTTGCCTTTGCTAGATTGTCATTGTTTATGGTGCAAGAAGATTCATTATTTGTATGGCCTTCTAAACCACTTGATTTCTAACATTTTTATACCTAAACCACTTGATTTCTAACATTTTTATACACTCGGATTTTGATCCGTGCGACACACGGGGTGAAACAAATTTTTATCGATTCTAAATTTTTTTCAATACCTCTAAGGTTGTATTTTTTTGGATTGTAATTCTTAGAGTCTGTTTGATTGAAAGAAAAATATTTTTTTGGAAAGTTCTAATTATAGTTTCTTACATTTGGTTACACGAGTGGTAAAAAATTATTTTGGAGAAAAATATTTATCTTAGATAAGGGAAAACGACTTTCGTTTGTTTTGGACGAAGGTACATTTCCTAATAATTCTTCGAGTGCTTTGATTTCATGAACAAAACAAAATACGTTCTCCACCCTATACTCACTCCCTCCCCCGTCCCCTCACTCCTCTCCCAAACCTTTGAGAACATATAGGTCAATAATAAAAATTTGATATGATCGTATTAAAAAATTATATTTTCTACCATCTAATATATTTAAAAAGATCTCAAAACATATTTTTTACTAAAAAACAACCATGTACTAATTTAAAAAATTCTTTCCTAACAAATACGGAGTAATAGAAAATGTTTTTTTTTAGAAAAAATGATCTTATGGAATAGTAGAAAATGGGGGGTGGGAGGGGCCGAGAGGGGATAATTTTTTTCTTGTAAGACATTTCTTTTAGAAAACTATACACCTCCTCCAACCAAATCCACCCTTAACTTTCAATATTTTTCAACTTTTTCTATTCCTTTCTAACTTTTCTTAGTTTTTCCAACTCTACCAAAATTTCCAACTCCTTCAAATTTTTTCGAGCTCATATAAGTTTCTTCAAAGTTCTTTTGATTCATTCCAACGTTGATTTAAAAATGACTCACGTGCATTTTTCATGGTAACGCCCTGAGAATAGGCCTACCAGAATTAATTGATTTATAATTAATTAATTACTGAGATGGACCCAAAAATAAGTGAGTTATAAAGTTTGTCAATTAATTTTGAAAGTTATATCGTTGTGTAGATTTTGACTGTCTGATAACAACGGTGCAATTAGATTTCAATTTGGAAAAAGTTGGAACAAATAATGTACCCCAATTCAGACCATTTTAGTCCCAATCAGGGAGAGGCGTATAAAATCAGAGGAAATCGCACTACGTCGCTGGACGATTGCCGATCGCAGATCACCCATGACGTAAATTTCCTTGGCTTCACCTTCTCCTTCACCACATATAAGGATCGTCATATCTCCCTCGTTTCTCCACTAATCTTCCTAAAATAAGTCCCATTGTGTTCTTTGCTGTGAGGAGAGCAAGCCGCAATAGTTTGCTACCGTCAGAATCACCGGAGATAGCTGTGGTGTTCGCTGGAAGTTTCACCGTAAAATTTTCATTTCAATCGTTTAAGTTTGGGGAGAAATACCGTCATAGCACTAATATATGCTTAAAATACCCAATATAGCACTGCAATGTAACATTGGAACTCGTGTGGATGCAATTCCAAATTTATCCTTGCATTCCACACTACCAAAAAATATGTTTAAGTTGGTATACACTTCTGAAAACATGGGCATAACTCACTGCAGCTACCAAAACATTGTCATTTCACGCTGCTAAAAATGTGTTTAAGTTGGTATACACTTTCAGAACACGGGCATAACACACTGCCATAAAGTGTTGTTAAGTATAGTGAATCATAACTCACTCCTCAAAACATGGATATAACACACCGCCAGAAAGTGTAGGCATAACATGACCATTCCACACTGCCAAAAAAGTTGGTATACACTTCCAAAATGTAAGGGTATGATTGGAAGAAATCCACACCATAAATAACCAAATGTGTGAAAAACAATAAGGAGTGCTATATGTGTAATATTGGATGTCTTAGAGTGCTACATGGGATAATTTCTATTAGGTTTGAGGTTAGCCCCTAGATATATCTAGTGACTAGAATGTAGATCACTTCTACGTTAAAAAACGGTCATTTGGTTGAGATATGTGTTAGAAAAGCTCAAAATATGTTTTTGATGAACAAAGAATCATAAACCTTCAAATTATTGTTAAAGTTTCGAATTAATTGTTTAAAAATGATTTGTGGATGTTAGAGAACATTTTTATATACAAATTAAAGTTTGGTAACTTAAAATGGTATTTTGGAAGCTTGAACCGACGTTGAAAACAAAGTACTATGCAAATTTTCAAACCAGTCACAGAATGGTCGACCGTCACACAGTACGGTCGACCGTCACACGGCACTAGTACGGTGGCAGTAACGGTCGACCGTCACATGCCATTTTGGACCGGAAAATCAGAATTTTGAAACATGTAAAATTCTATTTTGCTATTTTTCAAGTTAAATATAATGCTTTGATCAATTCTAAAAGCTTATTTGATGTATGGCGGTAAGCTAGGGTGTTAACTCTCGATGTTAGGCAACTACTTGTTATTTAAAGGATTATGGTGATGATTATTATTGATTATGGTGATTGAACTTTGATTAAATAATAAATATCCCGATTAAATTGTGATTATAAACAATTAAAGCTATCTAGAAGAACTCTAAGATAGGCCATATGTGACCAAATTAGTTGGGTCTTGCGGATGTGTATATTCAGTGGCTTGTGTTAAAACATATGTACGGGATCCTCAAACCATTTAGGAATATCCCGTCTGGGGTACCACCCACCTGACAGTGAGCAGATCATTGTTCGGGTTTTTTAGCGTGACCTATAGCCATAGTTTAAGAGTCTTGTTATCAATATAAATTAGTCTTAGACTAAAAATAATTTAAAAACATTGTTATTATTTGACATTAGAGTAAGAATAGTTTAAGAGTATTTTTCAAAACATTGTTATGATTTGGCCATGAAATATAAAGATTTCAAAAAGTGTGAAGACCTTGTAATATATTTCAAATTATATGAGACCTGAAATTTTTTATTTTAAAGATCCACGAATCACAGAGTTTATTTCAAATAATGTGAGTTATTATCAGAAAATCGAAAGTATTTTAGAGTTATTTATTACGGAGTATATCTTTCCCACTTGCTCTATTTTCTCTCCTAAACAAGTGTTTAGTGTGTTTTCTACCTTCTACTTCTTCCGCTCCATGAATATGTTCTTATTTTGATTTTTAAGAAATTTAAGAGAGATATATTTTTGTGTTGGCTTTCTAAAAATATTCCTGATGTGATGAATAAAAATAGTATGTGATGATAGATTATTAGTAAAATGGTATGATTCTACAAAACTAGAAGAGACATTATTATACTCCCTCCGTCCTAAAACTTTCTTCCCGTTGCGCAAAACGAAGAAAAATCCCAAGTTTTTCAATATATTTTATTTAAATATTGGTATAGAAATAAAAAATAAAACATACATATTTAAAAACTACATCAAAAGTTCAACAAAACAAGTGGTGACAAGAATATTTTATTTTATCATATAGGCCATGATAAAACACAAATAAATATAAATTCTCGTGAAGTTGGAATAGTGCTCTGGAAAGAAAATTTTAGGACGGAGGGAATATTATTTTATGAAATCAGGACTAAAATTTAGTAAAGAAAGTGAATTAAGTTTAATTAGTGCAAATCAGAGCAAGCAAATTGGGCGACCTTATCGTCGTCGATTGCTCGCTCGGAATCAAACTTTTTCTTGTCCTAATACTCTAATAGTAGCTCAATCCACGTGCTCAAACATCAAACTATTTTCAAAGCAATTCCGAGATAGGATCCTTGCTCCGCCGTGCAATTCTCTTCACTAGAAAACTCTGCAATTACAATGGAGGAAGAGAAGGCAGAGAAACCCTCCGTCTGCGTCACCGGCGCCAACGGCTTCATCGGGTCCTGGCTAATCAAGACGCTGCTCGACCGCGGCTACACCGCCATCCACGCCGCCGTCCTCCCCGGCTCAGATCCGTCCCACCTATTCCGCCTGCCCGGCGCATCCGGCCCCGGCGTGCGCCTGGTGGTGCACGAGGCCAACGTTCTCGACGCCGACGCGGTGTCACGCGCCGTTGAGGGTTGCGGCGGCGTGTTCCACGTGGCGTCGCCGTGCACGCTGGAGGACCCCGTGGACCCGCAGAAGGAGCTGATTGAGCCCGCGGTGGATGGGACTCTCAACGTGCTCGCGGCGGCGAAGAGGTTCGGCGTGCGGCGCGTGGTTCTCACGTCATCGATCTCCGCCCTGGTGCCCAATCTGGCCTGGCCGAGCCACAAAGTCTTCGATGAGTCGTCTTGGACTGACCTCGATTTTTGCAAGTCTCGCCAGGTTTTTTTTTGCTGGAATTTTTGTTGCGATGTACAAGTAATTTATGCTCCGAATTTACCGTACCAGTACGCAGTATTTACCGCACCAAAATTACTGTAATTTTTGTTGCTACTATGATTTTTTTAATTAAGAAAAATGAGATTTTAAAAGAATATTACGATTTAAGATGGGTAAAAAATGAGGAATTTATCTAAATAATACTCTCTCCGTCCCAAAAAGATTGGTACATATTGATTTTTTGGGAAATTAAGGGAGGGATATTTTGGTGTTGACTTTCCAAAAATACTCTTGATGTGATGGGTAAAAGTAGGATGTGATGGGTAAATTATTAGGAAAAAGGTATGACGTGATAGGTAGAGTATGAAAAAGTAGGGGGTAAAAGTGGTTTTTTAATAGAAATGTACTCCGTAATGGACTTTATGGGACGCAGTTTTTTCGAAACGTGTCGGACTTTTTGGGACGGAGGGAGTATAAAATATAATGATTTTCCTTAAATAGCATCATATGTTTTTATTTTTCAATGTAGTACTTTTAGTCATTATACGTTAGTCATTATTCAAATAAATGTTCACCATCACTAGATATTATATTATTCCTCCTTCTAAACATTATTAAGTGCTATTTAAGGAATAAAAAAATTTAAGTCCTATATTAGAAAATGACTTATGTTTTATTTTTATTTACCGCAAATAGTTCAAAAAAATACGGAGTACAGGATTTTTGGTGCAACTTCCCACAAAAAATTACAGAGTAATCTTTTATTGAAAAAAAATCAAAATAAAAAATTATCTGAACATTAAGCAAATGTTTATTAATCAAGGAGTAAATTTTAACTTCACCTGTTGGTGCATCTTAGTCCACAAAAGAATTTGCCTACAAAATTAAATACTTTTTGGAAATTTAATATTTTTTAAAAGAAGATTTTTTTTTGTTTGCATAGATCTTCGAATTTTTGAGGCATATACTCCCTCCGTCCCAAAGTATTTGTCCACTTTCATTTTTGCACACCATCCAATACACTTTTTTAATCCATTTTATCTTGTAATTTGTATATTAAAAAATTATAAAAATTATATATTAATAATCTATATGTTAAGACAAATTAAACAAGATCACACATGACTATATTTAGGCTTACACATTAAGAGAATTTGATGAGTCAAAGTGCTTAGATGAACAATTCCAAAAGTCAAAAGTGGACGAATATAGCGGGACGTAGTATGTTATTAGTATGCTATCCTAAGGGAAACTTTGGAAGGAACTCGCTACTAGACGATTCGGTTAGTCTCTCGCCCCGGCCTATATCCAAGCCAGACGACTAACGATTTGCATGTCAGTATCACTACGGGCTTTCACGAGGGGCAAAACAAATTCTAAAAGCCGACATTTCGACAATCAAGACGCTGACACAACAAAGCCCATCGCACTCGATCGCGACCCACCGCCGAAATTCAAGCTACAAACATACCCAGGAGAACTTGTATTCTTGTAAAATCTTAAATTTGTGGAAGTATTGACGTTAATTTTCCCTTCTTTATTTAAGAAACGAACGAAGGTAGAAAATCAAGTTATTGGCTCTAATAATGATTTTCCATCATCTCCGATGGAGCCAAAATTTTACCAATTTTTGGCTTTGGGGTGTGATGGAATAAATCAAAATGGATCTCTAAACTGTCTGCGCTTCTTTAATTAATGAAGTAGCAGTTAGTCAAGCAATGCAACTTTCAACGTTGAGCCGGGGGTCTCTTTGGAAACAGCCTCTCTACTTTCGAGTAGGGGTAAGGTCTGCGTACACACACCCTCCCCAGACCCTACTCTTGTGGGATTTAACTGGGTTGTTGTTGTTGTTGTTGGCTCTAATAATGACTAGAAAAACTGATTAAGTTACTAGGATACGCTATACGGAGGAGTGCTCAAGTTCTTGGAAGTTGGAACGAACACAACATGCGAAGTATATCATTACCTTGTTTGGAAATATCGTTAGCTTTTTGGATAAAATTTTACTGGTGTAGATTAATTTTGAAAACGCTAAAACTAAAACGCTTCCGTTATTTAGCATTTTTGAAACGCTAACTCTAGCCACTAACGCTGTTGCCAAACGGGTCCCATATCTATGTTATTCCGTGTGCCTTTACAGGAATGGTATCCCATATCAAAGACGCTTGCTGAGAAAGCCGCGTGGGAGTTTGCGAAGCAGAACGGACTAGACGTGGTAGCCATCAACCCGGCTACATGTCTCGGCGAACTTTTGCAGCCCGGATTGAATGCGAGTTGTGCTGTTTTGGCACAGCTTCTCAAAGGGTCAGAAGAGACACATGAGTGCCACTGGCTGGGGGCTGTTCATGTCAAAGATGTGGCCAAGGCTCAAATCTTGCTGTTTGAGACCCCCAATGCTTCTGGGAGGTACTTGTGTACCAATGGCATTTATCAGTTTGGTGATTTTGCTGAGAGGGTTTCAAGACTCTTTCCTGAGTTCCCTGTCCACAGGTATGTAGTATTTGTTTCAACTTTCTTATTATTTACTCCGTATTACTTATTCTTATTGGAATTTTCATTCCCCATGGAGCTAAAGAATCACTATTTTTTTGGCTTTGGTGTATGATGGAATAAAGTAAAGAGGAATTTACGTAAATAGCACTAATGACTTTCCCTAAATAGCACTACATGTGTTTTTTTCACAATATAACACTTTTAGTCGTTATCCATTAGTCATTATTCAAGTAATGTTTGCCATCACTGGTCATTATAAACATTATTAGATGCTATTTAGAAAATAAAACAATTTAAGTGCTATTTAGAAAAATGACTTAAGTTTTAGTGCTCTTTAGTGCAAATATTTCTAATGTAAATTGATTCTTTAAACTGTTTGCGTTTCTTGCAATTTTGAAGTAACAGTTAGTCAATGCGGCTTTCGACGCTCATCATGGGCCATCTGGAAACAACTGCTCTATGTTTTAAACATAGGGGTCACGTACATCTGACCCCCCTTACCCCGCAATGGGTGGGAGCCATTGAGGCACTGGGGTAATTTTGTTGTTGTTGTTACTTATTCTTATTGGAATCAAATCTGACTAGATCAGAAATAATTTTAAAAATAACTAAAATCAGATTAGATGAAGAAAACAATCTCAGAGTCTCACATTGAACATCTAGGCTAGAAAAAGACTAACATATAAGAATATGAGTTGGTTTTGGGTTGAAATCTCATAATATCGTGACAAAATATCAGTAAGCTGATTGTGAAACGCGGTAACCGGGCGGCATAGCATAATCATTGNGAACTGAAACATGGGTTGAAACTATATTGGTTTTTTGGGATTATAACAATGTGGAATCACTACAGGTTTTCGGGGGAAACTCAACCCGGTTTGGTGGCTTGTGAAGATGCTGCAAGAAGACTGATATCTTTAGGGATGGTTTTTACACCAGTCGAAGACGCTGTTCGGGACACGGTGGAAAGCCTTAGAGCAAATGGTCATCTGCCACCGCGAAACTCGCCATCTTAGGAGCCTTTTTTCGTGCCCCAAGTTCGCCCATGTATGGTATGTACTGTGTATGTATTTAACCAACCCACTCCAAAGAAGAATGCATAACTTACCTTTATATAGAGGAGCTAGTACAAAGTTGTTTATCTATTCAAAATGCATTACTTGAATAATGTATGTATACTTGGTTTTCCACATTTACGAAAATACGGGGCATTATTAGCACATTTATGCCATGTTTGGTGAGCTAAAAAGCTATGGGCTTCAATATCTCTGGTATCAAGTTTCCAAACATGAAAGTATTAGAATTGATTTCATTTCGAACCTCTTCAAATAATATTTCAAATTTCAAAATATATATCATTTCTTTTAAATTTTAAAACTCATATCATATCATTTCTTCAAAACTCGTAAAATAATCCTTAGTGTTATTTTTATGAGTTTATTGAATAAACCCGTCAGACCCAATAAAATCGCAACGTATGTTGGTATCACTTTATTCAGAAGTTTAAGATGATGACAACGTATGTCATAAGATGGTAAGTTTCAAATAAAAGTTGAGGTTGGAGGAAAAAAAGCAATATGGATTGAAGCAATGTTTATTTAAATATTGTTTTCAAATTAAGTTGGTGGCTGCTAGAGAAACCGACTCACCACGAATTACGGTTGTAAACGAATCGAAGCGGATATTGTAATATTTGAATTTGTATTTGATTAGGTAGTGTTTGGCAATTAGCATTTCATTTTAATTCATGCATTTCAATTCCAAAATTTAAAATCTTAAATTTTAAATGACAAGGGGAGGTGCATGGATTTTAAATTAAGCTTTGTTATGAATGAGAAAAATTTGTCTCAAATCCAAATTCAAAATTTTTAAGTTTTCCAAACATAGAATTTGGTCCAAATCCAGATTTGAAATCCAAATCCATGTTCCCAAACATACCATTAATTTTTTCGAATATAAATCCGAATACGGATATGAAACGAATTAAAAATAACATTTGTATTTGATTAAAATTTGAATAGTTAACGAATCCTAAGTGAATATATGAATAATCATACTTCGAATTTATATGTCGATTTTGAATAATTTAACTTACAATATTTCTTATATCACATCTAAAAAAAATTAATACATTTGTGTCTTACACAAATTACATTTTATAAAATATAACTATAAAAATCACATGCTTTAAATTTTTGTCTTACGTTAATATGATGAAATCTTAGTAATTTAAATGCAATTTATACTATACTAGATTGCTTGATTACTAATATTGAAAACATGGTCGGTGTATATACATATATTCAAATATTCGAATATCATCCGATTCAAATACGCCTCTATTTCTATTTGTATTTGTTTAATATTCGAATCAAAACTAATATTTGAATTTGAATTTATATTTGAATAACGCGAATTCGAATCATCATATTCGAATATGAATCACGAGTCGAATTTAAAATATCTGATTTGTTTTACATCCTTGCCCCGAATAGGCCAATGGACTACATTCCGAGAAAATATTTATTTAGATATTAGTTTGAAAAAATATTTAATAATAAAGGAACATTTTCAGAACATACTTTACGTCTAGATGATAGAAAATATCAAAATACCTTCTATTTGACTGATATTTACTCCGTAATAGATATTTTTATGCAAAAGATCATGTTGGTAATTATTAATTATTGAGGACTAATTTGAAAAAACACATTATTAGAAAGAATGTTTTGAGAATTTATTCAAACTAAAGTTATACTCCAATTTTTGTTTTTTCAATCTAGGCTAAGATGAATATAGGCTAAAATTTAAGGGGCAAAAAACAAAATTAATATTTTCCCGAGGACTCAAATTTCCCTCCCACCCCAGCCCAATCATATACTGCAAGGAGTGCCTGCATCCAGCAAAGCCCTGCCCCAAAACCCCAATTTTTCCCTCTCCTCTGCTCCGACACGGCGGAACCCGCCGGTGATTTGTATACTTGGTAGGGACCATGGCGAGCAGGTCGCAGTTGGTTGGAATGGAAGTTCCCATTATCGGAAGTGACGCTATCAAATGGATTCAGCTGTCTGTTCCTTCGTCAGCATCTATTCCGGCAGCTACAGCTGCCGTACTGCCGGACCACCTCAGCAGAGACACCGCCTCCTACACGGTGTTTGGAGACCCCCCCACATACATAATTTGGTATGTTTTTATTGGTCATATACATTTGCATATACTCACGTGTATCTATGATAGAGCTGAATATTCTAAGCATATGAAGAAATTGTAATGGAAAGGGAATTTTTTGCTATCAATTTGAGCTTGGGAGGACTGACAACGGAACTTTTTGCTTTGCAGCTTTCTGATTTTATGATATGATTGATGAATTATACTCCCTCCACCTCAAATGAATTGTCCCATTGCAAATTATGATGTTTGGTTGAATTCATTCTACTTCGATTTATGTAAGTAATGATACAAAATTTCAAAATACATATTAAAAAACTACGTTAAAATCTTCATAAAACAAGAAGCGATATGACTGTGTTATTGTAACAAATGATTAACAAAAATAAGTAAAAAAATAAACAAACTTTGACCTTAAATAGTGAGGCGGGACGGTTAATTCGGGATGGAGGGAGTACTATTATGCAATAATGATGATGTGATGCAAAGTATCCTTCATCTTTGTTGGTTTTGGGGTTTTCTTCTTCTCAATTTTAATTCTTTTACACTAGCAGGTAATTAGGATTAAGGTGTTGTTGTTTTGTTGGTCTCTTTTAGATTTTTGAATTCTAAGGCAGATGCTTGGCTGTTGGTCAGTGTTACAGTGCACATATTATTTCTATATCTTTTCTCTCTCTTAAAGAGGTTGGTTTTGATGCACTATAGACCTTCTGCCCTGGATTAAGTTTCTTATTGGAGTAAATCATATTAGGTTTATCCATTCATCTCACCTTTGGCATTTATTTAATTGTACTCCATGATCCATTTTATGTTATCTGGCTTCCTATTTGAAATAAATTTACACTTTCTCGTGCTCTCAAGATTGTGTCAGATTTTGTATAATATATACTTACTCTCTGGGATTATTAACATGAAAATAGTTGCATCTAGGAGTAAACTAGGTGTTGGTCACCTAAGTAAGCGTATATGTGTTTTGTGGTTATTATGCCAAATTACATGAATCCTTAAATGGTATATATTCTAAACTGTGTGTTTATTAACCTGCATGTGTCTTAGCCTTTCCCCGCTATTATTTTTTCCAAGCCAAATATTGTTGACATTTAATACTCGTATTGCAGGAGAATTAACAGGAGCCAAGAAAATGTTGTAGAGATAATGCAGCTAAATGACAATAAAGAGTTTCTAAAGATTGGACTGCAGATTGTATTTCCAGATGCACTTTTTCCATCTACCTTGTTATGCAAAAATGAGGTTTATCCTATATTTAGCTAGTTCTAACACTCTCAGTGTTTTTTTCCGCAAATATCAATGGTTAGGTCTAATGAATTAATTTATCTTCTTTTTTCACAGACTAATCTGTCACGGGGACACTTCACACTTTATGCTATGACAATCTCAGGGATTGCTTTTCTCATTAAGCTTAAAGATATTTCTACCTATGTACCTAGTTCTGTTTTGTCATCGAATGAAGTCCTTGAGTGCAATACTCAAATGCATTCTCATCATGGAGCAATAACAATGGCCACATCAGCATCAGGGTGTATAGTAGTTGGTCGAAATGATGGGTCTGTTTGCTGTTTCCAACTTGGCACAATTGAACCTAGTGCTCCAGGTTAAACATAGTTGTCACTCTGTTACTATTTTGTGTTCTATGAGTAACATATGCTTCTTGCTAGCATTAAGCAGTATACACAAGTTTGGTCCTGATATTGTCTTCATAGTAATGCTACTTTGAAATTTTCGTCTTTTATGCCTTTTTCCTGTGGTTCTGGCTAGTTCTGCCGCTCACCTGCTCCGTTAATTTTTTTGGGGGGTTATACTTTTTTCCAAGTTTCAAGTAATAGACACATTGCTATTGCTGAGTTCGTATGCAAAGGTTCTCAACACTGAATTTTGAGTAACACATTGCATGTTTGCATTGAGAATTAAGTTTCAACAACACATTTCTATTTTGAGTTTCTCTTAATTATGTTGTATCAACCCATTTTTCCTCTGATAGGTTTCGTATATGAGCTTCGTGATGATGTTGGCTTTGGTCGTTTATGGGGCATCATGTCGAGGTAATTCATAATTGTAGTTCTATAATGTTTGATATGATAGGTGGACAAGGGTTGGGCTATGTGCCCAAACTTGAAAGCTCAACTAATATTTAGAGGGATGGACAAGAAAGGTTTGAAGTTCGGAATCAAGATAAAAAGAAGGGTCTGTTTAATAAACAGGCTTGGCTTTAGGTTCAAAGGGCAAAGCCCGAGTCTAAAATAATGTTTTAGAATATTAATATGTATGTGCAGATGAGGGGGGGGGGGGAGACAATTATTATAACATTCTTAGTTTGGTATATCATTAAATAAACTTGGTCCAACTTAATGTGTTGTATTAAACTTTTTGAAGTTATTTGATGTTGAAGTGTGTGTGTGTGTGTGTAATATGTTTAGTTTTTTATTTTATTCAACACACACTTGAATATATGAATATTTTCTCATTTTCTGGGTAACTTTTTTCGTTCACTCACACCTTTTATTTTTGAATTTAATTACAATGCTCTTCCCCACTTCGTATAGCAAACATTCCTTAAGGAAATTCACAGTGCATTGGAAAAATCATCTACAAAAAGAACAAACAAAACACCAATCATAGAAGTCACTCGACATAAAACTGTGGCGGTTAGGTGCTTGTGGCGACTCGACATAAAACTCAACCTATAAGGACCCATTCTATTCAACTTAATCTTATCCCTTATTACTTATTCTTATTGAACTCTGAACAGATCAGAAAGATTCATATCACACCAGATCATACCAGAAACATATACAACTCTGATCAGCCTCATGTGATTAGATCAGCCCTTAATAAATTCGAATCAGAAATAAAGAGGTTAGACAAAGAAAACAGCCTCTCTAAGTGACTACTGATTCTGCTGGTGGCACATATAGGTCCTGCAGTGGTTAACGGCCGTGAATTTAAAACTCTGAGGCTCTGAGCCCTTTGAGTTTGATGGCGAGTTCCTATTTTGATGGTGATGGTACTTTGTCGATATAAACACCGGAAGAGATTAGACGTATCAGAAATTGTGGACAGAAAAATCAATGAAAATGGCCACG